CGTTTGAGTCAATCAGTTGTGTTGTGACAAGGTAGGGGGGATATACAGAAGATAGCCCTATTTGGTAAAAGACCAAGTCCATATTATGGCAAGAACAGCTCAAATGAGCAAATTGAAACAACAGTCCATCATTAGTTTAAGACATGAAGGTCAGTCAATACGGAACATTTCAAGAACTTTTAAAGTTTCTTCAAGTGCAGTCGCAAAAACCATCAAGCTCTATGATGAAACTGGCTCTCATGAGGACCGCCAAAGGAAAGGAAGACCCAGAGTTACCTCTGCTGTAGAGGATAAGTTATTTAGAGTTACCAGCCTCAGAAAATTGCAGCCCAAATAAATGCTTCACGGAGTTGAAGTAACAGACACATCTCAACATCAACTGTTCAGATGAGACTCTGTGAATCAGGCTTCCATGGTCAAATTGCTGCAAAGAAACCACTACTAAAGGACACCATTAAGAAGAAGAGATTTGCTTGGGCCAAGAAACACGAGCAATTGACATTAGACCGGTGGAAATGTGTCCTTTGCTCTGGGGTCCAAATTTGATATATTTGGTTCCAACCGCTGTGTCTTTGTGAGATGCGGTGTGGGTGAACGGATGATCGCCGCATGTGTATTTCCCACCGTAAAACATGGAGGAGGAGGTGTTATGGTGTGGGGGTGCTTTGCTTGTGACAGTCTTTGATTTATTTAGAATTCAAGGCACACTTAACCAGCATGGCTAACACAGCATTCTGCAGCGATACGCCATCCCATCTGGTTTGGGCTTAGTGGGACTATCATTTGTTTTTCAACAGGACAATGACCCAACACACCGCCCGGCTGTGTAAGGGCTATTTTACCAAGAAGGAGTGTGATGGAGTGCTGCATCAGATGACCTGGCTTCCACAATCCCCCGACCTCAACCCAATAGAGATGGTTTGGAATGAGTCGGACCGCAGAGTGAAGGAAAAGCAGCCAACAAGTGCTCAGCATATGTGGGAACTCATTCAAGACTATTGGAAAAGCATTCCAGGTGAAGCTGGTTGAGAGAATGCCAAGAGCGTGCATAGCTGTCATCAAGGCAAAGGGTGGCTATTTGAAGAATCTCAAATAAAAAATATTTTCATTTGTTTAACACTTTTTTGGTTACTACATGATTCCATATGTTTTATTTCATAGTTTTGATGTCTTCACTATTATTCTACAATGTAGGAAATAGTAAAAAATAAAGAAAAACCCTGGAATGAGTAGGTGTGTCCAAACTTTTGACTGGTACTGTACATCGCATACGTAATAATTAAGCAATAATGGTGTGTGGCATATGGCCAATATACCATGGCTAAGGGCTGTTCTTAGGCACGATGCGAAGCGATGTGTCTGGATACAGCCCTTAGCCGTGCTATATTGGAAATATACCACAAACCTCAGAGTGCCTTATTATTATTATTAACTGGTTACCAACATAATTAGAACAGTAAACAAGTATGTTTGCGTCATACCCGTCGTATATTGTCTGATTAACCATGGCTTTCACCCAATCAGCATCCAGGACCCAACATATCATTAAGGTCCATCAGTCTGTCCAAAGCTCTCTTTTTTTCAAAAGAATTTAGCAATACAAAGAATAATCCTGCCACACCAGCATCGTGAACATAAAACAAAGCACTGTCAAGTACCAAGAAAAATCCTTCCTTCCAATGCCAGTGAGGGCCTTAGATTAAGGTGTATTGAAGAAGTAGAGTACTCGGAACATGGAAGCCATTGAGCAAGAGTCCGGGGAGGGTGTTACAGGAGTTGCACAGGATGGTTAATGATGGTAGGTGGTTGGTGTGTTAACAGTTCACACGTCCAAGCACTCCAAAGGTAGCTGTCGGTACTTATGGTGCAGGTGTAGAATAGCAAGGATTTAGTCTCAGGGAGTCTACATTTTCAAAATGGTACAGTAAAAATGCGTGTAATCCATAACATTGATAGATGAGTAGTTGTCCTCTATTAAAGCTGTAATATGTAACTGTTTGGGCAACCCAAACAAATTCACATATAAATGTTATAGGTCTGTCATCTCACTGAAAGCAAGTCTTAGAAGCGGTAGATATATTCTAAACGAATACAACATTGCTATAGCCTACACAATATCACATATTATTTTATCAGACTCACAACATTTTCCTTTCTAGCTGTGCCACCAAATGTTTGCGAACTACTGGTAAAGTGAACAGGTTTAGCTAATACTGTAACATTATGGAACAATGTTTTTAAAATTAAACAAATGGTTAGCGGGAGAGGCAATATGGACAATCCTGGCCTAAAAAAAAACAATGATTTATGTCGCGCAGATGAGAGCCAAGGGAACCGAATCACACAGGGTTGTGACAGCTAAGGAGGACACTCTGTCCCTGTATTTTTGCCATTTATGCTGTCCCCATTGAGTAGAATATGTCACGGTGACATCTAGATGGCTACCAATATTAGATATTTATTGTGTAAACTGCTATCCTACTTGAAATACTGTATAATCCCGGGAGGGGAAAATTCTCCACGTTACTAGTTTCCTCCGCCGACACTGTGTTAGGTTACAGTTGACCAGTGGCACTGCACCTTAGGTCGGCAGGCACCACAATACAATATGGCGCACTAGTCATTCGCATCAGCTTTAGCGGCTCGCGAGTACGGCCCACAACGCGGTTTATGTGTCAAATGCGGCCTGTCAATCCCAAAAAATATGGGTAATCTTTTGAACTACTAGAAACAAGCCATTTTCTCGGTAGTAATGGTGGAAACATAACGGTCACGAATCTGCGCTCAGTGTATTCTCTATGGCACTCAGAGACTGCGATACAGCCTATAATCACAATATTCTCTCTGTGATGTTTGTCCTAGGTTGCACAGATATCTAGATATCTACGAACAATTTAGAGCAGACCGAAATGGCTTTTGTCAATTTGAGCTAGCTAGCTAGCTAGCAAAAGTTATCCAGCTATCTAGCTAGGTTAGCTAAGGAAACATGCAGTAATTCAACGTTGGCTAGCAATAAATATGCTTATAAACAAGGCAAGGTACCTACCCAGCAGCTGCTGAAAATATTATTCCACTTCACAGCCGCTTCAAGAAGATATTTACTAAAATAGTCTGAGCTTCATGTGTCTCACCTGACAGCATGAGGTAGGCGCCTGAAACTGATTATTTGAATCTACAGTAGGCATAACCTATTACTGTAAAGAAATACAGTATGTTAGAGTAATTTTTACAGGAGGCTTCCGAATTACAGTTAATAACAGTATTTTTCAGCATTTAACCCATAATGCAGTGCAATCTACAGCATTCACATTTATGGTATTATACTGTGTTACTATTGAAATTACAGAAAAGTCTTACAGTGTACTACATCTTTATTCCATTGAGTTTACTGACTACATATTTGAAACGGTCCTTTATATGAGTCTACAATATAGGATACATGCCATTATCACGTATGCAATGTAAGTAGGTTTGGAGGGGTGCATTTTCAAAATGGTACAGTAAATATGCTTCCAATCCATAACATAGATAGTGGAGTAGTTGTACTACATTAATCCATTGAGTTTGCTAACAAAGTATTTGAAACGGTCATTTAATTGGCACTTAATAAGGCACTTCGGGGGTTTGTGGTATATGGCCAATATGTATGTGTATTTTCAAAATGGTACATTTTTTAAACAATATGTTAAACTTTCATTGAGTATCCAATATGGGATATGTATACTTTATGGACTATGAGATTAAACTAACCCAGTAATTACTTGTATTGGCAATCTATTTGAATTAGCTCTTCAATCAATTAAAATCATGACCATTCCAAAATTATACATTAACAAAAATCCAATCATGGCTTTAATAATCACAATATGATTTTAATCAGATCTGTGCATTTATAACGTGCTTAGATGTTTCTTTGCTGCAAGTCTGTATTTCGGACATATTTCATGAACCAAATGCAATCATAGTTATGTGGATTCTAAATCACTGCATAGGGTCTAACCGAACTACTGCCTGGGGAGGCATATGCTTCTGCTTGTGATGCGTGTAGCTACCGAAACCGAAAATAAAAAGGTGTGAATAAAGTCACTACAATTTGCTTCACTTTTGAATGAAGTTACTGGTTATAAACATATCACATCATCATCACACAATTCACTGGCAACACTAGTTTAGTTTACATCAGTTTAGAAGAGGTTCAGCGATAGGAGCATCTCTCCCTGTCAAGGATATTCTGCGTGATACCATAATGTGCACTGCATGCGCGCACGCAAATGCTACAGGGCAGATGGCTTGACCGCAGTGTTACTCTACTGTGCCAGATGCTAAGACTAAAAACCGGTATAAATGGTCTATTTGCGAGATTGCCTTGTCATTTCAATAGGTAAAGCCCACCATTCACTCACTCACTCATCAACAGCAGGTCACAGCGAAATACATACATTTTTAAGGGAAAAGCCATGGTGGCCGCGGTGCAATTAGAGGTAGCTCAAAAACCCGCAACCAATACATCAGCCCTTTGCTAGAAAATAGCGAAAACATGGCAACCCTGACTGGGGAAACGCAGAAAGGGCGGGAGGTACACGTAACCAATCTTGAGGTAGCAACAACAGTTTCACATCGACTTTGGAGATACATTTCAGTCAATTCCCAATACTGCCACCACAGACACAAATCTTCTTGGCCCCTGTCCAAATCTTCGTACCAGCCAATGGACATGGGGTATGGAGGGGATTCTTAGAAAGGGGTTGGACGTAAACGAACCAATGGGCAGGCTGGTCGAGCGATCTTCTGCATGAACCTATAACTTTTGGTTTGGGACTTTAAATACCGTGTGGCGCTCTACTTGGGTACATTTAAACAAGAACAGTGTGGCGCAACTCCATAGAAAAGAGAAGGCAAACGCAACCCTAACTATTTAAGGACACTCTAAATCCTGGGATTTGGCCATAAAGCATATTGTTTATTTTTATTTACACCTCTTGTTGGATTTTGATAAAACAATGTCAAACGTCCTGTTATTAAGCAGCGCCATGGAGAGCTTGTCCACACGGAGGACCTTTCCTCTTCAAGCACGCACGGGCGTCTGCCGTAATCTTTTTGGACCGGTGGATCACGACGAACTGAACCGGGAGATGAAATCCAAGATGCGGGAGATTTCGGATAGGGACCAGCGGAGATGGAACTTTAATTTCGAGGCCGACGTGCCACTGTCTGGGGACTATGTGTGGGAGGAAACCCCGGTGGAAACGAGCCCTGTATTCTACCAGGACTCTGTACAGGTCGGGAGGACGAGGATTGTTGTAACACCGGTCAATGTGAAGCTAGACGTTGACTTTATCCTACTGGACTCATCTTCTCAGGATGTATCGCCTCTTTGTGATGACCGCTTGACCAGCTCCGAAAGTAGCACTCTATGCCTCACCGAAGTCAACCAGGAGAACTGCGCAGTGAAGCTGAACTCCGGGAGGCCTACTCCTAAACAAGTCCCGTGCGTTCGATGCAAAAGAACGGCTACTACTGATACGACGACAACGACACATGTTACAGGTAGGCCAAAATATCGCTAATCTGTAGACTAAGACTATTGTGTTTTACGCATTGATGCTGAATCTCGAGATATATTTGGTCAAGTGATGTAGTCAGTCATGTGTTGTCCGGTCAGTAAGCTAATATTTGGCCACCCAGGGCCATGATGTGAGTTCTTGGGTTTAAATGTGACTTTTCTTTCCAGACTTCTACGTGAGACGAAAAAGGTTGACGACCGAAACGAAGCTAAATGAAAGTACTTCCCAGCATCCTTCGTCTCAACTTCCTGTAGAACAAACTCCACGCAAGAGAATTCGTTGAAGGTATGTAGCTATAGTTTATAGTTCAAGATAAACTGGCTAAAAGGCAATTGGACATTGACCGTTTTACTAATGGACACAATAGTTACTTGTGCGTAATTGCGCATACGTTATGGGGTTATTTTATTGCCGATAAGGGTTCGAAGGTAAAACAAAACCAAAACACGGTTACACACTTTAACTGGTCGAGGAAACTAATAGTTAGTTTAGCTCGTAGTAGAGTAATTTGTGATTGGGGAGGGAAATCTGCGTCACTGTGACGTGAAATGCTCATGCAAATGGTGACGCCTGCTGAGGTTACAACCCACAATTTATTTTGAGAGATCTGATGCATGCTTTTTGTCGTTCATGTCTGTACAATTTTTGATTTCGGTTAACAAACACTTTTTTTTTTTTTTTTTTTTTCAGGAGTTTGCACAATCCTTTCCCCTATAGGCATACCGTCCGACTTGAAAACGAGACTGAAAACAAGGGAAGGAGAACACGCCTGCTCGACCGTTCATCAGCTTGGTGTGTCTCAGACAAAATGTAGCATTCATGGTTGCTCTGCATACAGCCACTTGACAGTGTTAAATGTGCAATCCTAACCTATTTTAAATTGTCTACACTGGCCAAAGTGTACAGCTTTATAAAGACATTATACATGTTTATTTCTGTGATATATCTGGGTTGTGTATATATAGGCTATATTTTTAAAGACTATTCTAACTTATAATTTATTTATGTTTCTTTATATTTGCAAAAACCTTTTTGATTTAGCCAAAGGACAACTTTTTATTTTATATAAAACGTTTTTTTTGTGATGTTTTGCAACCATGTAGCTTTTTATAGCACACTTAAAAAGTCGATTTCATAGTGCTTCTGAGACATGTTCTATATCATTGCCCTGATTTTCTGTTTGGCAAAAGATGCAAACTAAATATTTTAATTGAAATGTAATTATTTGTTTGTTTTTATCGCCTCAGAATATTTTACAGGAAGGGTCAGTTTTATAGTGTGAATTATCCCACCTTTTTGTAAAGTGTTAACAAACGCTTACAGCCGTATAGACACCCCTGCCATAGCCTACGTCACCTCATAGCTCAGCCAACACAAGAAAAACATGATTTGCGCCGCCCACTCTGTTTTGCCATCAAATAGCCTACCCCTTTCCCTGCGATGAAAATGTATAGCAATTTCTGATTACAAACTAATTAAGCAATTAACGATACAATTTAATCTAAATGGGAAACCCCACAGCCTAATAACGTTCCTTGCATAACATCCTTCAACGTCAACTTTAGGTTATTGCTGGATGCAAAACAAAGTTGTCCTTGGTTTTTGATTAAATAACTAGAATAAGAGACTGGGGAGAAAAGTATAGGCTTAGTTGAAATTGTATTGGGATGGCACATTCAAACATGCAGCATGGCAGCTGCGGGATATAGTCTGGAATTTAAAGGTCCTTTCGCTTCTAAAGGACGGCAGCAGCTGCCTTTTGGAACCCGCTTTGTCCACATGGACACCCCCACATTCAACCGCACTCAACAACTCGTCTAAAGAACCTCTCGCCCACACTGTTTACTCCACTGTGCCACACCACCTCGGCGGTGGAGGCCACCTGCCAGAGTAAGAGGAAAATAAGAAAAAACGACTAGTCTTTGTAATTGTCCTGGTCCGTTGAAACGAACCATTCAGTTTGTCATACTTACAAGTTCACCCTTAATTGAAAGAAAGCAAACCACGCACTCGGCATGCTCATGCGCTATAGGACTTTGCTAGACGCATAGGCCTATACCCCCTTCATAACGCTGACAAAAGCCCCTATCAGTGGCTTAGCCAATAGTCTGAACAATTTGAAGACTTTTGATGGCGAGAATGACTTTGCCAGCTCCAAGCAGACACGTGTGTCTCGGACGGCCTTGTTCTAATTTCCAACACAAAGAGCTCCCATCTCCATTCTTTCCTTTTTGTTGCCATATGGCAAATCCATGTAGACATAGCCAAGACCAATTAATTCAGCCACATAATGTCCAGCATTGGAGAACAAAATAAACGTTGTTTGCCTCTATTCATACAAACGGCTGAAAATATATATATAATTAAACCATGGTGGTATCCAGCTAATTACAGCCCATATGTCCACAGGGAGCAGCGGGGTTGTTCAATAAACTGGCAATACTGATGACATTTGTGGAGTTATACATCTCTTCATAGGATTTTGGGTCATAGGCCTATTGCTTTCCAATGTGAAATAAAAACATTCTTCACATTTTTCTTCACATAAGCTACCTGCCGGGGCGGCAGGTAGCTTAGTGGTTAAGAGCGTTGTGCCAGTAACCGAAAGGTCGCTGGTTCTAATCCCCGAGCCGACTAGGTGAAAAATCTGTCGATGTGCCCTTGAGCAAGGCACTTAACCCTAATTGCTCCTGTAAGTCGCTCTGGATAAGAGCGTCTGCTAAATGACCAATTTATTATTTATAATTTATTGAAAAATAAAATTTTAACTAATAATGAGCCTTTATTTTCAATGTTGAAATATAACATTTGCCAAGTTTTGAAAGATGTTACCAAAATGGTAACTCAGCCCTAACATGTTCAGTAAATTGACAACAAAATAATTTGGTTGAATATAATGTCTTATACAGTACACTGTCCATAACTTGAACTTTTTAGGAGGCCCACTGGACAACATTGTATTACATTTTATTTTATGAAAGAAGAATACGAGTCTAGTCTAGTCTTGTCGATGAGTTGCCTATATAGCCTATAGGTCGGCCTACACACAACACAATTATTCTTAAACTTCTCGCTTGCAATATTAGAGATGTAAAACCAATACATGTATTTATCTATTTTATCCATATAATACAGATGATATGATAAATGCAGCACATACCATACAAGCACTCACAGGCAAATATTTCCATTCATATTTATTATTTCCAAAGAGTGAAATGTGATAGGTCTTTATAGGCATTTCTGTTTTGGAAATCTGCATGTTTTCTCATTCTATCAACGTTTTCGATTGTGTCTAATTGGAATGAGTGGATACAAGTCATAACCTAAAATACAAGTGTTGTTTCCTCGTAAAATTCTAAAAACGATGGAAATAATATCAATTGTACATGTCCAAAACTTTAAACCGAAAAGGAATACTCTTTCACCACAAGTGTAGCACTGATATGTGGTTTATCAAAACATGACCTTGAGGTGCCAAACTCTGCTGTAGACTCACGCGCATGGGCAGACTAGAATGGGTGACATGGGTGCGTATTACCCATGGCAGCTAATGAGAGGGCCCCACAAGAACGTTTGTCATATAATTGAGAAGAAAATGGTTTAGCAGTATTACAGGGCTGGCTTTAGGACCATGTAGACGGCTCAGAACAGGCGGGAAGCCTGTGTGATTGGCTGGCTGGCTTTGTTGTAGGACTATGGAGAGTATAGTTGCAGTGAGAAAACAGCTAAACTTGAGGAAAGCCGTGCAGAGGTGGAAGATAGCTAGGTAACTCGAGTTTTTAATCCCAGTGCTGAGTTAGTGCTGTAGGCTATGGCATGTATTTGTTCTATAATGTTATGTATGTCGCTTATCAACTGAGGTGAATGAAGCTACAGCAGCCAAGGTGATAATGGCAGGAGTACATTTACATTTACATTTTAGTCATTTAGCAGATGCTCTTATCCAGAGCGACTTACAGTTAGTGAGTGAATACATGTTTATTTTATTTTATTTTTTCATACTGGCCCCCCGTGGGAATCTAACCCACAACCCTGGCGTTACAAATGCCATGCTCTACCAACTGAGCTACATCGAGTAATTTTTGTTTTCGCTGTTCTCCAAAAAGCATTTTAGAGCTTTTAAATTGTTGCAGTAAATCAGCTTAAACTTTAAAAAAATTCCTTGGAGCGGGTGTTACCACTGAACATGTATCTAACTTGTACATGGATCAATGTGGATCACTTCAAATGGATTTATTTGAATAAATTAGGGCAGATACAAATTAACAGTTGAAACAGTTATTCAATGCAATGCATCATAGTTTAAGCTAATTTTCAATGGTATTTGTGATACAATTTTGCCATTTATAGGCTACACCACGCCATTTGTCTTTGCATATTATTTTCTGCATGGTTATGCTATACATAACCTCCACGAGGTGTGATCTTGCATGGAGCCCCAGTTATTTTGTGTTTCTTCCATTTGCGAATAATCGCACCAACTGTTGGTCTTGTAGCCCATTCCAGCCTTGTGTAGGTCTACAATCTTGTCCCTGACATCCTTGGAGAGCTCTTTGGTCTTGGCCATGGTGGAGAGTTTGGAATCTGATTGATTGATTGCTTCTGTGGACAGGTGTCTTTTATACAGGTAACAAGCTGAGATTAGGAGCACTGCCTTTAAGAGTGTGCTCCTAATTTCAGATCGTTACCTGTATAAAAGACACCTGGGAGCCAGAAATCTTTCTGATTGAGAGGGGGTCAAATACTTATTTCCCTCATTAAAAAGCAAATCAATTTATAACATTTTTGACATGCGTTTTTCTGGATTTTGTTGTTGTTATTCTGTCTCTCACTGTTCAAATAAACCTACCATTAAAATTATAGACTGATCATTTCTTTGTCAGTGGGCAAACGTACAAAATGTAGCTATGTAAACTCAGCAAAAAAAGAAACGTCCTCTCACTGTCAACTGCATTTATTTTCAGCAAACTTAACATGTGTAAATATTTGTATGAACATAACAAGATTCATCAACTGAGACATAAACTGAACAATTTCCACAGACATGTGACTAACAGAAATTGAATAATGCGTCCCTGAACAAAGGGGGGGGGGGGGTAAATTGACATTTCTGGGGGGAATGGCCCTAGCCCTCACCCTCTGATCAAACAGGTCCCAGACATGCTCAATGGGATTGAGATCCGGGCTCTTCACTGGCCATGGCAGAACACTGACATTCCTGTCTTGCAGGAAATCACGCATAGAACGAGCAGTATGGCTGGTGGCATTGTCATGCTGGAG